GGCTTAGCCAGTCAAATGCTTCCCATAACTCATGGCTAATCTAGGTTTTCAACTTGACACCTGGAAAGAGGGATCCTCACCTGAAGAACTGACTCCATCAGGTCGTTCTCTGGGCAGAGCTGTGGGGCATTTTCAGGGCTACCAATTGACCTGGGAGGTCCCAGCCCACTGAGGGCAGCACTATCCCTAGGCCTGTGGACGTGAGTTGTATAAGAAAGGGAACAAGCCAGGAAGAGATGTTCCTCATGGTCTCGGGTTCAGTTCCTGCTTCCAGGATCCTCCCCATAAGCTGAAGAAAAAGACACTTTTCTTTCCCAACTTGCTTTGGTCATGGTGTTTATCTCCCTAACAAATAGTAAACTAGAACACAGCATGCAGGCATGACCATGTGAGTTTGGTCACAAAACCTACATTTAAAAAGCGAGGTGTGGCAGAGTGGGATTGTCATCTGGCCACTGTGAAGGTGGGAACCAGAAGATGCTGGGATGGAGATGCCAGTTCATCTGGCTGAATCCCCAAGCTCCAGGCCAATGAAAAGCCATGCCTGTTGAGGGCAGCACAAGATCTGGTGGTAGGTGGCTGCCTTGGGGACAGAGGCAGCCAGATTTATGTTAGTTCAAGGCCAGCCTGAGCATGGCATCCTTTCTTAAGAACTGAAACTAAAAAATGTTGGGTCCTTTGACACACATCTTTAATCGCAGCACAGGGAAGGCAGAGGCAGGTGTGAAGGGACACTAGACCCCTGGGGCATGTGCCTCTGGCAGGCCTTGCCCTTCTACTCCATTCCCTCTGACTTTAATAATCTATTACAGTACATTCATTTTTTTGTAATAATCTATTACAATACATTCTCCCACACTCCATCTGCTTTTAAAAACTGTTAAGATTACATTACTTAAACTAGCCGCCAAGGTCTATCCCATATATGGTAACTTCCTCCACCTGAGGCTGACTACCAAAGTCCAGCAATCAAGAGCCCCTTTTGATTCACCTAATTAACATGCTCAATTAATATTAAACATCTCATCCTATCTCGGGTTTCCCCATTTACCTTGGGCCACCTCTGTCTCCCCTCTATACAGAGGCAGTTCTTGTCCCTCTAGGACAATTACCCTTTCCCTCTTCCCTTGTCCCTTCCCCCTTCTCTGATGTCTCTTTAGTCATGATTGTTTCTTTAATAAATAAATAAAATTGTTGCCCTAATAAATAAAGCTGGCCTGGAGATCAGAGTGTGGAGCTAGTCACTAGAGGCCAGGCAGTGGTGGCACACATCTTTAATCCCAGCATTTGGGTTCTTATGCCTCTGATCCCAGTACTTGGGAGGCACAGGCCTTTGATCCCAGCACTAGGGAGGTAGAGACAGGAAGTGTTAAGGCTGGGAAGAGAGAGGAATATAAGGCAGGAAGAGACAGGAGCTTGTCTTCCCTTTCAGGCTGAGGAGTTGGAGAGGTGAGAGGTGGCTGTGGCTTGCTCCATTGTCTCTCTGTAATTTCAGCATTTACCCCGATATCTGACTCGGGGTTTTTATTATTAAGAACAGTTAGAACTGGTACTACACCTTTTCCTTCTCCCTCATACACTATCGAGATTCATGCTACATCCTAGCCCATTCTAACACAGACCTCCCCTTCTCTCCTTAAAAATTACACCAGCAAGGTCATTTGGTTCTGTTTTCTGCCTGATTCAGATGGATATCACTTTAATTTTTCTTCCCCGCCTAATAAACGGTCTCTCTGTGCAAACAGGTATTGAGTGCAGTTTGTGCTGATTCCAGGATCCAGGAGGACGCCCCCACTATCAGGGTCTCCTTCAAGGCACGTCTCTATGATTCTAGGCCCGCCTGGTATAAAAACTAGTTCCAGGACAACAAAAAATATGCAGAGAAACTCTTTTCAAAGAAATTTTTTTTTTAGAGAAAAACAAACCAACAAAAGCTAAAACCCCTCAGAGTGAGGATGGCAGCTGGCAGCTGTGATTCTCCGTCTCAGCACAGAGAGCCCTGAGACAGGATGATCACACCTTCCAGGGCAGCCGAATCCGAAGCAAAAGCAAAGGTTCTTTTTATTGTTGGGAGTTAACTCAGGCCTCTCCATCCTCTGATGAGGAGCAGAGCAGGAGAGACCCCGAGTAGCAATGGAGCCGGGTTTTTATATGGGGAAATGCAAGGGGGATCTTGGGGTCTACAGACTACATAGGAACAGACTTGGGATTGGTTTATGTGAGTGGCAATCATTTTAGTAGCTATTACATGGTTAGAGTTAGTTGGGAGTTACAGTTATCCATTTTTGGGCTAGCCTGGACAATCCCAGGCTTTGTCCTTCAGCTGCAACAGAGGCTATCTGGCTTATCCCGAACTGACTGTGGGGGCTGGATCAGTGGCCCAGGCTTGGTGCATCCTATCTCCCTGTCCCTGCTGACAGGGGCATCAGTGATTGTCTTTTGTTCATGGCCCTCCCAGAAACTTCTTGCTCAGTCCCAGGAAACTGAAATTGAGGCCTGATCTTTGAGAGAAGACTGAGCAGTCTGTTGTGGTGTCTGCTTGGTCCTCTCAATCTCTTAGGACCCTAGGAACCAAGAGCTGGGACTCCTTCACTGCATCAGCTGGAAACTTCTGCACAGATAGAGGGCAATCCGATTCCATGGGGAACCAAAGGCTGCCCTTCCTCAACTTCTCAGAGTCCAGTTCTCTGCACAGCCCAGTACTCACTAATCCCTCACTCAGGCTCTATTCCAGGGCCTGGACCCCACCCCTACCCTTCCTTGGGATCAGGATTCTACAAATCTAGGAGGAAGAGGCAAGTGGATATCTGGGAGTGATAATCTAGTCTGGTCTACACAACAAGGCCCAAGGTAACTGTGGCCACAGATTGAGACCCTGTCTCAACTTGCTAGACAAACACACACACACACACACACACACACACACACACACACAAACACACACACTGAAAATCAAAGGGAGGACAAGCTGAGCACCAGCATCCATCTCTCTCTGCTTCCTGACTGCAGATGGAGTGTGACAAGCTGCCTTACACTCCTGTTCCCATGCTTTCTCTGTTGTATCCTCAATTGTGAGTCAAAATGGACCCTTTCTTCCCTCCTGAAGTGACCTCTGGATGACATATTGTGCCAGCAACGGGCAGAGAAACAAAGACCCCCGAGTTCGCAGGAGTCACTGAGCCAATGTGAAACACCCAGCCCTGCCTTTCCACACACAGCCATCCCCTGCTCCAGAACACACACAGTGGGAGCCTCTGAGGAAATCCACAGCTGTGCTGGGCAGCCCTGACCACACATGAGACAGCACTTGTGCAGAAAAGAATGATTTAGACAGAGGAAATATGAGGAGGAGGAGGAGGGGCGAGAGACTGGGCCAAAGCGAATGGGGACAAGTGTAATTCCAGGTCAGTGTCCATCTGAGGGGACAAGTGTAATTCCAGGTCAGTGTCCATCTGAGGGGACAAGTGTAATTCCAGGTCAATGTCCATCTGAGGGGATGGCAGATGGAGCAATTGTCACAGCATGAGGACCTGAGTTCAGATGCAGCACCCCTGTGAAACACTGGTGTGGGGCACACACCTGTCATCCATGCTCTGGAGAGAAACACACAGCAGGAACATGCAGCTTGTTGGCTGGTCAAGCAGGCCTCACAGGTGGGTGCTAAAGAGACCCTGTCTCAGGAAACAGTGGGAAATTTGTTTTATAGGGACACCTGACATGGTCCTTGGTCTCTCTCTCTCTCTCTCTCTCTCTCTCTCTCTCTCTCTCTCTCTCTCTCTCTCACACACACACACACACACACACACACACACACACACACACACACACATACACACTACATCTCAATGAACTCAACCAGGCTATACTTCTCCATAAGCTGACTGACTTACATGTTATCATAGTACCACAGTGACCTCCCGCCAGGGGAAGGTGGTTACCAGTACCCAGGCTTATCTTCTGCAAGCAAGTGGCAGAACTGCCAGGGCCACAGACTATCAGTAATTTCAGCAAGGATCTCTGTCACAAGAAGATCTTAATGAGGGTATCAGAGAGGAACACACAGGTGGCAACCTGGGGCAGTCCCTGCTTGCCCATTCCCCAAAAGCCAGCAGCTCTGGCACTAACATCCTAATTAACCTTCAGTCTGTTTCCAGTCACCCCATACAGAGGGTTTCTGCAAACCCTGAAATAACTCCATCCCAGTCCAGCAGAGGTCCAGTAACTTTATTGGGGTCCCTATTCATGGGTGACTCATCAGCTGCATCCACAGGAAATGCACCACAACAGTGTGCTGACTCATGACAGCTGCATCCAGGAGGTCCCCTGGGCCAGTTTGCAGCCAGGTCCATGGAGGAGTTTTCTCTCCCCTTGTATCCCCAGCACTAGTTCCCTGAGGCTGAGGAGGTCACTGGAGTCTTAGAGCTTCCTGGTTCTCCTTCTTCCATCAGGCCAAAGGTGCTTCAGTCAGAGGGGAACAGCTACAGAATAATAAACAGTCACAAGGTGGTCTGAGCTGTCTACAGATGAACAAATCCAAACCACAGAGACTGGCCTACCGCATGCATTGTTGTTGTCTGAGGAGTGTTGGGAGAATTCCACAGAGCTACAGCCTGTGTGACCCCAGAGTGTTACCACCTAGCTTAGATCTGCCTTTTATGATTGCTACCTCCTGTCTCCTGGATCTTCTCTTTGAAGTCTTATCTGAGAGTTTCCTAAGAAAACTTAGATTAGGAACAACCCAGAACACTGTGGTATTTCTTTCCTGAGAATTTGTGTTTGGCATCATCCCTTTGGGGGGCTTAGATAAAACTAAGTTTTATCTAGTTTTGGTGTAGGAATTGACCTGATAAAGTGTGAATTGTATAATAATGAAAGGGCCCTCTGCTAAGCTACTGTAGAGCAGCCCATAGAGACCAATCCCCTCTGCAGCTGGGAAAGGCTAGACTCATCCTTGAGGTGCCCCTCTCTCTTCATTCCAGTGACCTGCTAATTGAACCTCACTAACTCCAGATATAAAGCACAGAGGGCCCTTCCCAGGAGCCCTCAAAAGGAGTGGGCTGGTCAATCTTAGTTGGGTCCTCACAACACAGCAGGGCCCCTCCCAGGAGGACCCCTCCCAGCAGAAACAGCAGAGAGCTGAGCCAGCTCAGGTAGAGTGAGGCTCCCATCTCTGGTTTCAATGGGAAGACCATTTGAGGGTTGGTGATACCAAGGATGACATTGTGTGTGACCCAGGACGCAGACACCAACAGCAGCAGACCAACCCCCAGGAACAACCCACTTGCCGCCAACTTGATCTTTTTTGCATTATTCACATTTGACACACATGCAATGCGTTCATCCCCGATCATGTACAGCAGCAAACCCAGCCAGGTGATGATGATGCAGATGACCACCAGAACTCGAGACACCTGCAGGTCCTGTGGCACTACCAGGTGTGATCTGTACCACCTGCATGTCTGGCTCTTGAGTCCGTTAATCTCACACAGGATCCAAAGGCCCTCCCAAAGGTTGGTCTCTTCCGAAAATTTCATCACATGCCACGAGGGCAGGCCACAGCTGATAATGGCCACTAGGCTGCCCAGCTTGATCAGAGAGAAGCTGGCTGCTTCCAGTTCCTGGCGACCCATGGCTCATTCTCTGCTGGACACAGGACACAGAAGACAGAGGGGATCTGGCTCTCAGCTGCAGGGTTCGTAGGGCTGAGGATGGAGTTTCACCATGTCAATAGTGAGCTGTCCAGAGAACCAGCAACAGAAATGAGGGTCACTATAGAGTCAGACATGTTACCAACAGGAGGGACCTCAGCAGTTGACACAGCGTCCTGGTGAAATAGGTTAAGCTGATATGGGATTTGGCAGAGGGTGGGGAGAGGGGGGAGTTTCAGTGCACAGGCCTCATGGGATCAGATCTCTGTACTCTTTTTAATATGTGTGTGTGCATATTCATGTGTGTGTGCATATTCATGTGTGTGGGTACATGTTTCTGTGTGTCTTCATGCACTAGTGGGCACAAGAGTGTGGACACAGAGGACAACCTCTGTTGTCATCTTCAGGAACGCTATCCACCACCTTTGAGATGAGGTCCCTCAATGGCCTCCAGTTCACCAATTAGGCTAGAATAGCGGGTCAGGGTCCTGGGAAGTCAGGTGACAACCCTCCTAATTCCCTAAGCCATCCGGGGATACTGAGTTCTGGGGATCTGAGGACACAATACAGAAAAGGGACATTGGTCAGCTGCACACCAAGCAGAGACCTCCTGTGGTCCCATGCACTGCTATATCTGATATAATATTCTATCTTGTCAACTTATCAGGATGTAGAATCACCATGGAAACAATCCCCTAGGAATATCTGAGAGAATTCCTAGGCTGGGTAACTGAGGTTGAATCCTCATCCAGTGGGCAGCACCATTTTATGGTTTGGGTCCCAGAAGAATGGAAAGTAGAAAGTGACTGAGCCCCAGCATCACCTCTCTGTGCTTCCTGACTGTGGATGTGATGTGACCGCCTGCCTCGTGCTCCTGCCCCATGACATCCTCGCCATGATGGACTACATCCTGGAGGACAGGTTGTTTTGTGTTAGTGTTTTATGACAGACAGAGAAGGCAAACTGTCTAGATGTTGGTGCAAACTCCTTTAATCCCAGCACTTGGGAGGCAGAGTTAGTCTATCTCTGTGAGGTCCAGGCCCGCTTGTATACAGATTGAGTTATGTTTCAGCTAGGACAGAGTAACACTGTCAGAGAGGGTGTGGGGGAAAGAGAGAGAGGGAGAGACAGAGAGAGGGGGTAGGGAGAGAGAAGGAAAGAACACTCGGGCACACTAGAACATGGTCTGAGCTGAGTTCAGGGATAAACAGAGACACCATGTTGACAGAGGCCCACCATGTGCTCTCTTGCTGGGTGGAGGATCCAGTGCTGATCCTGGGACTGAACAATTCATTTTCAGCTGGGGCCTTTCAGGACTGTAGGGCTCCTCCAAGCATCAGCAGCGTGGAGCTGCATCAGCCTGGGTAGAGCCAGACACCCTACTCTGCTTTCTGCATGGAGCCCAAGAGTGCATTGGAGCAGCCATAGATGAAGTTGTGTGTTCCCCAGGACATGGGCACCATTGACTGCAGGCCAGCACCAGGATCAAGACATCCACCCTCCTCACAATCATGACATCATCTCTGTCATTAGACAGCCATGATGACACTCAACCTCAAACATACACAACAGCAAACCCATTCCATTATACAGATGACCATGAGGACCTGAGACACCTGTGGCCCTGAGCTGATGTGACCCAGTAGCCATGGTCCTTATACTGTATAGTATATTGTCTGTGTACCTGGCACATTTGCCATAGACCCCGCCTAACATACGATTCTAGCCCTTACATCACATGCAGGAGATATTGTCACCCTTCACAGGGCTGGCAAACAGCTCCAAAGGGCCACTGGCCTGCCCAGTCTGGCCACAGAGGTGCTGACCTGCTGCAGGGCCTTGAGAATCATGGCCCAGAGTCACTGTAGTTAGGTAAGGGAGTTAATAGGGATCTGGGCTGAGCTGTAGGATCCCAAGGACTGATGATGGACCTCACAAATGTCTAGAGAAAGCCTTTCCCTGGAGGCAGAGAGACACAAAAGCAGACAGAGACTCAGTCCACACCAACAATAATTACCTCTGTAGAAGCAGATGTCCGCGGCAGCAGTGTGAGGACAGCAGTTGACAGAGGCATCTGGTGATAGAGATTGGGGGAGTCTGAGGGTATGACAAGGGGTGGGGCACAGGGTGGAGCTTCAGATCATGTGGCCTCAGAACCAGCCTGTACTGCCTTATGTAAAAAGTGTGTGTGTGTGTGTGTGTGTGTGTGTGTGTGTGTGTGTGTGTGTGTGTGTGTTTCTGTGTACTGTCCTGTGGGTGCATTCCTAGATGTCGTGTGCATGAGGAGACCAAAGGATTTCCTCTGGCATCATCCTCTGGATGGCATCTATCTCCTTTAAGACAAGTGTCTCATGGACCAGGGCTCATCAACTGTGCAGACCTACTGGACAGGAAGCCCTGTGGCTCCCCCTGTCTTTTCCTCTTTGGCACTAGATTTACCATCACATGCCAGAGTATGCTGCATGTTTACCTGGGTTTTCAGATGGACCTCAGGACCTCCAAGCTGTACCTCAGTGCTGGGTCTCTGTATTCTGAGCCCAGAACAGTCTCCTGAAGGTTTGAATCAGAGCAAAAGCATCCATACCATTGAATGAATCTCCCTCCTCCCATGTATATGAATGCATACATATAAATGCATTGAATTCAAGACATTTATATAATTAGATATTATATAAAATGATAATTTAGAAAAAGAGAGCATGTCTACTCCTGTAGCCAGAAGTTTTTCTGTGTCCCACAGCCATTCCCAAATAAACACACCGAGGCTTACATTAATTACAAACTATTTGGTCTAATGATCAGGCTACTTGCTAGCTAGCTCTATCACCTTAAATTAACCCGTTACTATTAATCTATGTATCACCATATGTCTCGTGGCTTTACCTTTATAATACATCTTCCTTCGCCCGGCATTGCTCTGCTTCCCCCTGACTCCACCATTCTTCTCCCTGTATCTTTGCTTGGATTTCCAACCTGGCTCTTATCCTGTGTTGCCAATACAGCTTCTTTATTAACCAACAGTAGCACCACATCCTCACAGCATACAGAAAAACCATCCCACAGCACACACATAACTGATTGGTCCACGTGGGGACGAGGTGACTGTAGCTGGAGAATTTTTCTTCAGCTCCCGCCAAGCCCTGCCAGTCCTGGAGCCCACTTATAAAATAAACATACAGGTGCTTATATTATTTAAACTGCTTGGCCCTTAGCTCAGGCCTATCAAAGTCTAGCTCTTACTCTTATATTTAGCCTATTTCTATTAATCTATACTTTGCCACGTGGCTCGTGGCTTACTGGTACCTTACATCTTTCTTGTCCTGGCGGTGGGTGCAGGCAGTCTCCCCTCTGCCTTCCTGTTCCCTCTATTCTCCTCTCTGTTAGTCCCGCCTATACTTCCTGTCTGGCTACTGGCCAATCAGTGTTTTATTTATACAGAGTGATATCCACAGCACTTCCCCTTTTCTTCTTTTTCAAAAAGGAAGGTTTTAACTTTAACATAGTAAAATTACATATAACAAAACAATTATCAAGCAAGAATTACAGTTACAATATTAAAGAAGATACCCTATCTATCTTATATTTGTGTTTAAGGTTTTATATCTAACTTATCTTTTATCATAACTAAGAAAAATTGTAACTATCTAGCTTCAACTACATCAAAGACCTCAGAAGGATATAATACTACCTGAGAAACTGGAGAAGGATGTAAGCAACTTTTGGGAGTCTTGCCGGGTAGACAGAGACAGCTGACAGCCTGGACAGTCACCTCATGTTCCTTTGTAAAGTTGGGGCATCTGTCTTCAGCCCACAGGGTTAGAGTCTCTTGGTCATTATTCTCAGTGTTTTGTAGAATGTCTGGCAGTTTTCTCTGCGAAGCAGGAATCTGAAGGACCATTTTGTCAAGCAAATTTCAGTGGTCATCTTTCTATGGGTCCTGTATGTTCAGTTGATGAAGCAGTCCAGGCAAGAAAAGTTTCTTGTCCAAATGGCTATTTTTGCCAAGGTGAAGATAAACTCCATATGGAGTGTCTTTGATGTCCATCCTCCTTTCTGAAGTAAATCCAGTGTTGCCAGGAGCAGACATTTCTCACTGTCCAGAAAGTCTAAATTTTAAAAAATATTTTAAATGCCATATTCTGTAGGTCTTTGAAGTATTTGAAGATTTCTTATCTATCTGAAATATATCTATGTATACTTAGAAGATTTAACTAACATGGCTACAAGTATGATTATCATAGATGACTAATTATTAATCTATTTAATTATCCACTCCAATCTAAATGAGTTACATAAACATAATACCTCAAATGAGAATAGATATATATATACAGTATAACAAAATTAAGTTTAAACTTGTATCAATAAACTAAAATCTATACTAATGTAAAACTTTTTTTTTTTTTTGGTTTTTTGAGACAGGGTTTCTCTGTGTAGCTTTGTGCCTCTCCTGGAACTCACTTGGTAGCCCAGGCTGGCCTTGAACTCACAGAGATCCGCCTGCCTCTGCCTCCCGAGTGCTGGGATTAAAGGCGTGCGCCACCACCGCCCGGCTAAACATTTTTAACATAAACTAAAATCTATACCAAATGTAAAACATTTTAAACAAGTTGTTGTTCTTTAATAGTAGGTTCATTAATCTACCCTTTTATCCTATCATATCTATATCCTATATATCTATATCATATCCCCTTTTCTTCTTCTTTTTTTTTTAAAGATTTATTTATTTATTAGGTATACAGTGTTCTGCCTACATGTGTCCCTGAAGGCCAGAAGAGGGCACCAGATCTCATTATAGATGGTTGTGAGCCACCATGTGGTTGCTGGGAATTGAACTCAGGACCTTTAGGAAGAGCAGCCAGTGCTCTTAACCACTGAACCATCTTTCCAGCCCCTCCCCTTTTCTTCTTTAGAAAGAGATTGCATTTATAATCAACCTGTTTCAAATAAACATATTGGTTTTTCTCTGTCCCACACCAGAGGGCTCTTCTGATATGGGACAAAAGAATCTTTTAACCTTTTATTTTAGGAATATGTTTGGGTTTAGAGAAGGAATGAGCCAATTTCATCTCCAAAGCCAGCATGGT